TCGATCCAAAATAATATTAGTTTCATTTAGAAGGCGGTAACCTGTATGATATGACACAATAAAATATAGTGGAACCTCGATATACCTCGGGCTCGCATATACCGCGGCTGTGATCATGTTCCCCAATACGATTACCTATGTTTTACATATTTCAATACAACGCGGGTACTAAATCTGTCCCCCGAAACCCGCGTTATATCGAGGTTACATTATACATTAATAATAAGAATTTTTATTTAGGCTGAAATATACGAGAGAGCCACTGGTGTTAACATAAAACTGAATATATTTGGATAAATATGTGGAACCGAAAAAAAAAATAGAAACAAATGCTTTTCAGTCTTGCCTTTCCTGTATTTTGTAGGTGTCCGAATGTACTCCTATCATCTGGGCTGAAGAATTTGGATAAAGTTAGGAATTATAAGTTCTTCAGAGAATTTCGTTTCGTTTCTGAAGACAAACTCCTTGATTGTATTTCAACTTGGCTCGTGTCAGTGACCGGGTTACCAGTCAAGACAGTCATCTGACCTCTGGCCTTCGCTCATTGTAATTACATTTTGCGCCGACTCTTTCAATCTGTGCTGTCATCATTTCTTAAAACATTACAAATATAACGCTACGAATTATTCTTTTATCGCCTTAAACATAAACTAATTCAGAAAATGAACAAAACAGGTCATTATGTCTACTGGAACAGCTGGCTGACATCTTGGTCGGCGACGAATGTGAAGATGGCTCTTCTGGAATGTTGCGCCGTTTGGTCTCATTGAAAATTACCGACATTGCGGAGATGCTTACTGCATTTATTATTTTCACCGCGTTTCCAACCGAATGAAATGTCATTATGCTACATTATTAAAACAAATTGTATTACAATTGTCTACACGTGAGATATCGGTGCCCTAGTGGAAGGACATATGCTGAAATTGTTTGGGAACAGAGTGCCTTAGAGAATATTTACACCTCAAAAATTTGTCCTAACAGCGAAACCGAGAAAATTTAAATTTCAAAGAAAGCTTTACAATTGTGTTCATAAGCAGGTACAGCGTATCCACGATAAATATGTGGCACTTATACATAATACAGCGTGAGGTTTACAAAATTCAGGTACCTTAAAATCTTCCACGTGATCTCTTCCATTCTGATTTTCCGACTAAAATTTTTAGGTTCCGCACATTTCTCAGCTTTTCTCATGCGTGCTACATGTTCACCTATCCCCAGTCTTCGTGATTCTATGAGCCTGACAATACTTTATGAAGAGTACAAAATTTGAAGTTCTTCGTTTGTAATTTTATCTATTCTCCTACTAATTATTCTCCCTTAGGTTCAAATATTATAATTTCTTTCGAAGGTGTAAGTTACGGGTTATATAAAACTCATTTTGACGATACAGCTCGTAGCTAGTAGCGTATTGATTTAGCTAGTATTTATAGTTTTGCGTAAATTTCGATAGTAATTCATGACGTGACGGCTGGCGCCTGATCGTGTTCCAATCCCCGTGTTGGCGACTATACACTAGGAACTTTATGGCGCCATCTAGATCTGTGTAACTGCAGCAGTAAATATTTTATGTTCTTGGTGCAGCAGAAGGAGGTGCTGTTCACATACAAAGGCGTTGGTCAGTTGTGTAAACTGTGGGATAAAGGTGAACTTATTACTCGTGTCTGAGTACTGTCTTACCCGTATGTAGGCCTGTAGGGGAATAAAACCACACGTTACGAATCTCAGCACTAAATACTGAATGACCGGCTTCACGCTCCGGCTGTTTGAGTTTATAGATGCAGTATTCGATTATTTAACGACGTTTTTGTTTTCCATTTTTATAAAATGTAGAACTGTAAAGTAATAATGTATGGACATTTTTTAAAGGAAGTGTCTTTTAATGTAATGTAGCATTTATTTACCTGGCGGAAATTAGGAAAATATTAAACTCATCTTGAACCGGTGTTTAAGAATCGAACCTTGGATATCCCGAATACGAAAAACGAGAGTCCCCTGCATTCACTGGGTAGGCACCACGGTTAACCTGACTGTAGTGAGGGAAGGGAAAAATTCTGCTTCTGCTGGGAATTGAATCTCATGGTGGCCCAAAGCGTAGGGAATCACTTTACTGGCAAAGGCCCAAAACAGTGTATTATGAGCAAGTTGTCCTTGTCTTTGTATTCGCATGTTCTAAAACCCATTTTCAAAATATTGTTTGCTTTTATTAATTTAATGAAAGCCACTCGGCCCAATCACACGTCCTGATGTTGGGTCAGAGATGGTCCCTGAAAGGTCGGAGAGCTTTAACCTTTTGGCACGGATGATAGCTCTACAGAATTTTATTAATTCTGTTCGCCGTGAAAGATTTAGGTGATGTATTAATCATTTGTCCTATGGCTTCAACCTCACGATGTTGCTTTTATGACTCACGTTAGTAAATATTTATTATATGCTGCCAGTTTAGTTCTCTTTGTAGTTTTAAAATTGTGTTAAACTAATGATTTCATGTGACGTGTCACACTAGTAGCCCACCACTCGGGTATCGATTAAGTAAACGGAAGGCGTCTATTCGAACACCCCTGACAGTCTTCACAAGTTTCACGGTTTAAACATCTTCATTCATGTTGTTCGACCATGTTTCAAACCTGGTACACGACATCCCTGCAATATGAAGTATCACCGTCATTGTCTGTCTTGTATTTGGAAGATAAATACAACTATTTGCTATTAAGACTACATGGAAAATCTGTCACACAGGCTCTCTACTGTACTGTACTCTTCCTGTTTCGGAAAGTGTAGTAAACCTTTACATGTGTACACTAACGTCTGTCTGAGAAGCTTTGAATTGTTTATCTGGTCAAGAAATTTTAACATGGAGTGATTGACACATACTCTTCTTCGTATTTAGGCAAGAATAGGGTACTTCTTTGAGTAGCGTTGCCAGCCTTTTTATAAAACGTGATTGGTCGTTATTGTATTTATTAGAGCCTATCATTTGACCTTGAGCGTACCTGCGCAAATTGAATGGAGTCCGTAATGTGGTGTCTTAATTCTGTAAGATTAATTTTAATATTGTGGATTATGGTACTCTTGAGTCATGACAACGTACGTGAGAACACATTAGACCACCATCCACATTTCTACCTTCGTGGATACCTCAAATCGTATTTTAATATTATCTTCCCATTTACACTCAGATCTCTCGTGCGATCTCTTCCGTTCATAGTCTCGACGACTATTTTGTGTGTTTTTCTGTTCTTTCTCATGCATGCTACACGTTCTAATCGCCTCATTTTCCTTGATTTGTTTACTTATTTAATAAATGTAGTTAATGCATTTAAAGTGTACATGAATCCGTTGACATCTTTAAACTGTGGTAACTATGTTGGATGAAAGTAGTAGATCGAAGTAGAAACGGCTGGAGTATGATAATGCCAATATTAACAATGCCCTAGTAATAATATAATTTTAATTGTGATAGCAATTTTTGTCAGAATACAGTTTCTGTTTCTTATGTTTCGGGGCGGATTACCATTGTAACACATTTTAGAGTTCTGGGACCGTGTTTTAGGTGTAAGTTATGTTGTAGTTTGGCATCTGATATATGTGTTTAGAAGCTGTAGTTAAAAATTTTGCTTTGTATGTGGTTGTGTATTACGCATGTGCTTATGACGGACGAGGATTTTTTTGTTTTTTATTTTGGACTAAAATGTTGTAGTTGTTATGTGCGATTTTTTTAACGTTCGGAGGCATATTTAAGGCGTGTTATAGTCAGAGAGTTAAAATATTTTGTAATTAGAAAGTGCATTTAAACGTTCAACTTTAAAGTGAGTGTATTTTACGTTTTTCTTGCGGCGTATGAGAAATGTTATTTCTTATTTTATTTCAAGAGTTCATGGCGTTTTGGGAGCGTGTTTTACAAAATATTTTTACGTGCGAGGATGCTCTTTAAGTGAGTTGTAGTATCATAAGAAACTTTCGAATAGAAAGTATAAAAATAAAATAAATACGTATTTACGGAGGTGTACATATAAAATACCTACCGTGTCTACGTTTGTGTGTACTCCCAGTAAAAGTTTTTAATTGATTACGCAGAGCCAGTGATAGAAATTGTGTATTTGAAGCTTCGATCTTTTGTTTAGACAGTCTTAAATTTTTAATTGACAAAGCAAAAGACGAACTGTGAACCATGTGAATAAAATATAGGAATTTTGCTTACAGTAGCATCGTTGCAGCTGTTGAAGATGGAGGTTCTTATTCCAGCTCCCGCCGACTGTGAAGTGCGGTCAGTGATAACGCTAGGCCGCACCCGGCTCGACGGACAGCAAGTCTCCTGCAGGAGTTCAGCTGGGAGGTGTTTAATCATTCACCCTACAGCCCGGATCTCGCTCCCAGTGATTTCCATCTTTTCCTACCCCTCAAGAAATTCCTGTCCGGTCAGCGTTTTGAGAATGACAGAGAGGCGGAGATGGTTGTCACACAGTGGTTCCAATCCCAGGCGGCAGACTTCTACGACCCAGGTATTCAAAAGTTGGTCCCACGGTATGACAAATGTCTCACTTCCGGTGGCGAATATGTTGAAAAATAGCTGGACACTTGCTGTATCTGTTGCAATAAATATTTCCATGAAATTGTGTTTTGTTTCTGTAAACGGCCCCAGGGAAACTTTATGGACGAGCCTCGTATTTGCAATGGGAATATTTTATCGACTTGGTCCTGTAAACATCGTTTAAAGAATATCATAAATTATACTCCATTCTGTTACAGTTTTTGAAATCGAAACACTATATCGATTTAGCAGTGGCGTGTAGAACGGTTCGCTGTTTGCGTCAGTCCTGTTTAATACTGCGAGTTTACAGCACGACGAGTTAGTTACAGTGTGGGTTGTTGTTGTGCAATAGTAGTTTGCACTAAAGTTGTACATTTTATTAGTTGTAATAAAATTAATTTGTACATTTGCTTATTTTTCGTATGTATTGAAAAAAACTGTAACAAAATATTCTGTCAGTTTTAAAGATATCTGTAAATAAAACTCCGTGATCTTCGCCATTTTCTCTACGTGCTTCAGCAGCGCGATTAATGTTTTAAATGTTACAAAAAAATGTTGCTGCAGAAACGTGCCAAATTATGGCTAATTCGTTTTCTTTGGCGGGTCATACAAAGAAAACCATATGCATGAAATCGGTTTTATAAAACTTAAAACAATGGTTTCGTCGAAAAATGCTTTTATCTTAAAAGAGCCACATGAAACTGAGGCGAATGTTTTCATGCAAAGTTTCGTTGGGAAACCTACTTTGGAAGTACCTGTTGTAGTGAAAATTCTGAAATTTATTAAGAATGGGCGGAGGAGATGTCCCACGCAGTCAGAATCCTCCCTTGTGAAGTCACTGGGGTCCTTTTTCGTCAACTTTTGCTCAACTGTAAACGCACGAAGTTCTGAAAGAGGAATGACTCACTCTGTAGAATGACCAAAATATTACTTCACCCACATTTAATTCTTTAGCAATGTGCGTACACTGTGAGGTAAATTTACAGTGTTGACTAGATGTAGCTACTCAGTATCGTCTTCTCCCTTCTCTTCGGTGTCACCATCACCAGAAGACCAAAACATTCTCCTTGTCTGATGACATAATGGAGATTGAACCACAGTAGTTCGTTCTGTGTGTTGATCACAACTTATATTTGGGTTTAATATATGGGGTTTACTGTTGCATAATATTTAAAAAGACTGTCTTGTGTCAAAACAAGAATACATTTGGAGCATTTTTCGATGTACACTTCTCTACAAGTTACGTTTAATTCGATACTTCGTTAGATATGAAGTAACTATTACAATCTTTCAAAAAATATAAGATCGCATTTTATAACAGTCACAGTTTTAACTATGAAAGTCAGTAATAAATATTGCTCTCATCTGTCATTTTGTATTTTTATCCGGGCAAACTTGCTGAAATTTATATGTATATACAGTGTAAAGTAATGTTCTTGTCATTATATTTAGAAGATCGTACATGCGTGGAGGTATTTACTTCACAGAATAGCGTACACTGTTGCTATAATGTTACGGAACACGGTAATAAAACAGGATGCTGAATTAGCGACGACCCCAGCGTAGAGGCTGTCCGATGGGCCGTAGTGTCCCTCCGGTATTCGGAGACACGAAGTTCGTTTCGGCCATCTTGTTGACTTGAGGTGCGCGAGGCGGGTAACGACCAAGTAGATTGCTGAATCCTAAGCTGAAAGGCTTCCAACGAGACAGAACGGTCAGGGCGCGCTTGCTGCTACCTGCAGCACATACAAGTCGGTCTTAAATTAAATATAAACTTTGAAGGAACAAAACGTAAATATTGGTCTATGTGAAGTTGGTACCTTGTCACCTGGTTGTTGCGGATGGTGGATAATGACTCCTGGTATGGAAAGTAGTTAGAAATATATCAAATAAGCAATCACGAACAACCAATAAGGGGTGGTATTCCAGCTTGGGGTTGGGCGGAGTGTTGACAATTCCGTAAAGAAACCAATATATTACAGAATGTTACACATATTATTGGGTTTTGATTGTTTTTAAAGATTTAATTGGGTTTCATGACAGGCGGGTAATTTTTTTATATACTTTCATCAGGTCAATTATCCTGATGATGGAGGCAACAACCCAGAACGTAGCATCTTTAAACTGGAGTGATAACGTGGTATCTTACGAAATGGTATGTTTTCCTCTGCCCCTAGACGCAAATATTGAGCATTGCTAAGTCAAGGCACAAAAATTAAAGTAAACTTGAAGTTAATATTATACACAAATACCAAGAAATTAATCTATTTAACCGTATCCTTCCATGTATTTTCCATATCATTAACCTTAATGATTCTATCATTTCAAGTTGTATAATTCATGAAACTGAAGAACTGTCATCAAATAACTAAGTAATCAATTATTATACCTGGTCCAGCACTTTCGGGATTATATGACGACATCCATTGTAAGGATTTCTGCGGAAACATTTCCGTCAGCTCTCTCCATGTGGCGTCGTTCAAATTCTCGGCTAAAGTTGATGCCGAAGGCCACGACGTCACCAGTACCACGAATCCCAGGATGAAGAGTGGCCACAACATAACTGCGGCCGAAAAACATTTGCATTGTCATCACTGAATCAAAGTGGCGCCTTAATTTCATCCCTTACGCGACATCCAATCGCATATGTAATGAAATTCCTATGTCTATCAGACGCATTTTTTAGTCAGTTACATCTTTTCAGTGATAATAATGGAATCACAATAAAGAAATATTTTATTCCAGGTGTTTCTCGTAGAACTAATGGATAATAATAATTCAGTTCAATTCTTTATCATTAGTGTGCTGTATCAACAGCCAGAAGGCCAATTACAGATACAGCACAAGAGATGAAGGAAATTAGATTATTATAGAATGCGATGAAATGTAACAGATATTGCATATAATAATAATAATAATAATGTCTCGGGTACGTGGAAGTACATACCCCATAAAGTGGTGAATACATGGGATAATAATAATATGGGGTTAAGGTAATGGGGAGAGGTAGTACCTTTCACCATCATAAGTCTGACTATGCTGGACACTGGTCCTCACCCACCCAGGAGTAAGTGAAGCGCAATACAGATGCTGGGCATCCAAGAGCCTCTCCTTGCTCAAAACCGTCCGTGCGTGGTGAAGAGCCACATCCGACTAGAGGTGACCCTGTTATATGACAGAACACGGCGGATCTAGAGGAGTAAACCTCGATAAATAATCCCGTGCAGCTACTACCGAAGAATGGAAAGACAAAGATCTGGAGTACAGTTCGCCTAGGTACTCCAAGGACTGAGGTTGGTTACGGCAACGAGGCAACTCAACGCATGCCAACCATC